AAAAAAGAAACACTAAAATGTTGGTGGTCGCCCTAAATTAACAATGATATTGGCATTTTAATTAGCATTTGTGTTTAAACGCAGTTTTGCTCGAATACCTGTATGCAAAGGGGGTAAGATTTGGGGTGGCCAAACTTTTTTTTGGATGAAGGGCCAAAAATCAAATATAATTGAGAGCCTGGGCCTAAGGTGAATAAACCAAACTATGTTACATTAAATATGTCATGGGTGGTTTCGTAATTTATTTAATAACATTTCAAAATAAATAGAAAACATTACTTTAAATTAATTTAAACATTTTAATTGATAACTTAAAAAGCAATAAAAACATAAACAATCACATTGATAACAGTGGAGTTCAATGCTGAACACGCTGGTCAAGCAGAGTCTGCCTTTATCTTGATTTGCTCAACCAAAGTCTCTGCAGTGTCGGGTGACAGTACAATTTAGATCAGGGGTCACCAATCTCGTTCCTGGAGGTCCAGTGCCCTGCAGGGTTTAGCTCCAACTTGCCTCAACACACCTGTTTTAAGTATACCTGGTAAGACCCTGGTTAGCTTGTTCAGGTGTGTTTGATTAGGGTTGTAGCTAAAATCTGCAGGACACCAGCCCTCCAGGAACAAGTTTGGTGATCCCTGATTTAGATCATTTGATTGAAACATTTAATTTCAGTTAGCTTTTAATAATCAAGCAAACAAACAAAGGGTTACATTACTTTCTTCTCAGGAAGGATGGCGGGCCAAATCAAAGGTTTACCATGGGCCAATTTTGGCCTGCAGGCCCTAGTTTGGTTGCCTTTTATTTAATTTTACATGTAAATTGAACTTTTATTTTCAGCATCATTAGTCGACTTCAGTCTCACATGATCCATTGCTTAGTCCCTTTATTAATCTGGGGTTGCCACAGCGGAATGAACCTCCGACTTATCCAGAACATGCTTTATGCAGCGGATGCCTTTCTTGCGGCAACCCATTACTGTGAAACATCCATACACTCTCATTCACAAAAAAAAAAAAACACATGATTAACAAACTCAACTATAGAACAATTCACCTTCAGTGCATGTTTTTTGGACTTGTGGGGGAAACCCACACCAACACAGGGAGAACATGCAAACTCCACACAGAAATGCCAACTGACCCAGGTGAGAGAGGATCGAATCAGCGACCTTCATGCTGTGAGGCAACAGCACTACCCACTGTGCCACCTTTACATTGTATCAATTAAAACATTTTCTATTATAATCAAGGATCAAAATAGTTAAGCTGCATTATTCACTTAATGTTTTAGGAGTTTTAAGTTAAAAGAAAGCTCACAGCATTTATTTGAAATGCAAGTAAAAGGGTTATAAAAATGCTATATATATATATATATATATATATATATATATATATATATATATATAAACAATCTTTAAATAAGTATATTGCAAGCATTCAAACACTTTATCTTTACACTTGACATCAGGAGCATTTCAGATTCACCAAATCATCTTTAAAATCTTTCTACTTTAAGTAGATGACAAATTCAATTATTGGGGTATGATTTAAAAGACACACACTTGCCTAGAGGTAAAATCACATCTTGAAGTCAAAGGAACGGTCTGTAGAGCTGTGGTGAGACAAAACTGGGAATGAATAAAAAAAATTTCTCCACAGGTACACATGAGCATTTGGCCTACATAATCCTGAACGGAAGTATTCAATGACCAGGGCTCCTAAACTGACCTCCAAAACTCCCAACCAAACTGTGCAACTGGAGGAGAAACATACAACACTGCAACACTCAAAACACTTAAGCCTCTTTCAGCCAAGAGACACCTGCTTGGAAACTTCTAAATGCACCTAAACAGCTCTTCAGACCGTGAGCAATAAGAATCTCATATTTGGAGGACACCAGGTAGAGCTCAGATTTAGATATCTAAAGAAATCAAAAGATATCTGTCAACAGTTCCCATCCCAACTAACAAAGCCTGAGAAGATCTATAGAGAACAACGGCAGAACCACAATCACAATGCAGAGTTGCAAAGTTTGCTTTCCAAATTATCAGAGGTTGTCAATCCTAGTGCTCATGATACCCTACTGTGCATATTTAGTACGTCTTATCACTCCAGAGGTTTGTTCCATTCAACCATAAGTGGCCTGTGAAGCGGACATGACAGGGTCTTTTACCATGATTTCAGTTTGAAAAGAAGTGCGATGAATTCAACGGCTATTAAAGAGTCAGGCCATGACTTTTCCACAATTCTCATGCAGCTATGGGGCTCTCTTTTGACGATCTGTTATCTAAATCAGTGTGAAAAAAGAGAGACATGAAGAAAAGCAGAGTGTACGGTGGTCATTACCAGGATTGAGAACCATGAAGCCACTGTATTAGGTAGGCTGTAAAAATAATAATAAATAAATCAGCTGTGTGGAATAAAACAGAGCCGTGGTTAAATGTATTTAAATAAATCAAACAGCAGCACTGGATGGCAGTATTTTACTGTTAAAATAGCATGTCTTAACTTTGCTTGGGGACTTTTACATTTTTATTTTACAGTAAACTACCATATTTAATTAATTTATAGTTTACACCAGTTGTTTGAAGTACTAAAATCTACACATTCTACATTTGTTAACCAGACAAAAACACAACTAAAAGTGTGTGGTGATGATAAAGCCAAATAATGAACCAATGCTTACCACAAATAGAAACTAGTAATATATAGAAGGTGTTTCTATATACATTTACATTACATTTACATTTAGTCATTTAGCAGATGCTTTTATCCAAAGCGACTTACAAATGAGGACAAGGAAGCAATTTACACAACTATTAGAGCAACAATGAATAAGTGCTATAGGCAAGTTTCAGGTCTGTAAAGTCTAAGAAGGAAAGTATTAGTAATTTTATTTTATTTTTTTTTTGGGGGGGGGGGGGGGGGGGGGGTACAGTTAGTGGTATATCCAGAGAGGCAATTGCAGATTAGGAAGTGGAGACAGAATGTGTAAAAAAAAAAGAAAATGTAAAAGAAAAGAAAGTGTCGTTCACAAAACTAATAAACACAATCATGGTAAACACACACAGAGCTAAGGTAATGCAATAAACATTTCATTACAATAAACAACTAAAGTACATAACTGATACATTAGTAAGTGAAACCTAAATATAACTACAGTAAAGTCTACAAAAAAAGCATAAACAGTGAAGTGTCATGCAGGGAATTCTGAGAAAGTCAATCTACAGTTAATTAAAAAAATATCTAAAGAAAATTCATATTGTTAGCCAGGCTATAGGTTTTTACTGTAACATTTCACATGGTCATGAAGAAATTGATATGGCCAGCCCAGTTAGTACTAAGTGACTATATCCCTCTAACCATTATAGCACCATCAGGTCCAACCATTTACACACAGATGGATCCATGGTTTCAAGCTTATGGGAAATTCTAACCCTTTCTAAAAATTGACGTTGGTCAAAGCAGACAACCTATTAATATCAATGTTCTGCTGTCCAAGTGACACTAGAGTGCTCTTCTTATGCTGCTGTAGCTCATCTGCTTCAGTGTTTGATGAGTACTGAGATGCTCTTCTACAGGCTTTGTAAACAGTGGTTATTTTAGCTATTCTTGACTATCTATCTACTTGAACTCTGTCTGATCATACTCCTCACACCTCTGCCATCATAAAGGTATTTTCAGCTTTTGTCCTGCACTGGATGTTTTTTTTTTTTTGTAACCAAAATGTCCTCTGTGTGAAAGCATTTTCTGAAATACTCTTGTATATAAATCTGGATATAATCTGTGTATGTTGGTCTGTAAACAATAAGGCCAATGCCATGTTCAAAGTCACTTAAATCAACTTTGCTCCCTATTTTTGTTTGAACTTCAGCAGACTGTCTTATCTACCTACATGCATGATTGATGGTATATTTACATTAACCAGCTATTGGGGAGTAATACAAAAAAATAAATAAAAATAAATAAATCACAATCTAAAACATTGTTACAATTGGTAATAAAAAGTTTAAACCATGAAAAACATATAGCAAAACATTTAATATACAATAATAAGCTTTTACACTATGACCACCCACCTAATAACCTGCAGGACATACTCAATCCCTCAAAACTGTATCCATGCGTCGAGGAACTGATTCAGTGAGGTTGGGATAGGTCTTCTGGAATACCAATGTCAACAAACATTGTAGAGTTGTGGTGATAGAGCGAATCTGGTTTTCAAACTTTCAAACTCAATTTGGTTCATGTAAGGTAAATTTGGAGGCCAAGGCATTAATTGAAATTCCCCCACCTCTTGATAAGAACACAGTAGCCATGAGTTGTAGCAGCAGGTCCACAATGGTGTCTAAATACTTGACAGTTGTCAGGAATTGTCCTTCTGGGATAATGGGTCCTAAATTGTCCCAAGAGAACCCCATTCAAATACTGCCACCTCTGGCATGTGTCTGCTTAATTTAGCATCCAGGTGCCCTCTCTTGGTAATTGGTGAACAATGTGCAGCAGTCTCTGCTCCACTACGGCATCACTGAGCTGTGGGCGACACGCGGCTAGACAACGGTTCATTGTTTGGCCATATGTGCACCGCTTTTGCAATATAAGCTCTACTACAGCACACGAACAACCCACAATTTCCGCTGTTTCTGAAACTGATGTTCTGAGGTGCAATGCCATCACAATTGCTCCTTTATCAATCTCAAATTAATCCCCATAATTCCTGTTCTAACACCAAATTCTTTACTGACTGGAAGTGTCTCTTTGGGTGGAATATGTACTGTTCTGTGAACAGTAAGGAGTTCACTTACTGCTATAGCCTGGTGTTACTCAATATAATGCACTGGGATGGTCATAATGCAATATAATGCACTACTAAGGCCTTATTTTAACGATCTAAGCACATGGTGTAAAGTGCACTTAGGATGTGTCTTAAAGGGCCTTTAAGACTATCTATAGAATGAGCCAAATTCCCCAAAAACCCCCTGAGACGAAGAAAGCACAGAAAGAGGTAGCAATTTATTTATATTTATGTAGACAATAATATTTTACATTGCAATTCTTATATTTTTTTCATATATAAAAATATTTGCTGCAGCACATCCCTGTGTGTGTAATAAGCAACATTTATGTGAATTTGGACCCCCCCCCCCCCAATCACTAACACTTTTAGATGACCAATGGCAAAGTTTGTTTTAGTTGCCTCAAAATAGAAAAACACCAAGAATGCGCCCTAACACACTCATGCCAGCACAAATGGGACCAAATGCATTTGCTATTTCAACAACATGGTGCACAACGTGAACATGATAACTACACCTGAAGCTAAAAACTAAGCAGGGCCCTAACTAGGGGCCTAAGTTTTTGTTAATAAAATGTAAATGACAATGTACTGATCTTTCACCATAACAAAATATCCTAAATACTGTGGGGGCAATTAAATATTGGGTTTGATATTGGTAAAACCATGTATTAAAATGAAAAAAAAAGAAAAAAAAAAAAAGGAAAACACTGTCCTATACAATCTAAAAATATGCTGTATTTGGCATTAAAAAATCTGAAGAAATGAACCCATAGGTGGGTTTCTCCATATATGAACATTATGACAACCCAGCATTTTAGAATGTCCGATAATTATCAATCAACTCAATAACTTATTTAACTAAATGCTCGTTATAATAATTGATGAGGTGCAACTAGGCTCTTAATTGCTGGTGGTTTTAAACAATTTTCGGTCAAACTGTTGGGTTTGTTTTTTGAATGATTTTAAATACTAATTATTAACCCAGCGTTTGGGTTTTTGGAGTGTATAATATCTGCTGCTTTTTTTAGAATTTGCTCACTTATTTTGCAGTATTCTAGTAAAACTTTTCTTAAGTGTAATAATAATACATGCACGTAACATTCATTTAACACTCTTAATTGTCTTTATTAATCATCACAATTCATTAATATTAATACAGAGGGCCAGTTACACTCACAAAGCTTACAAAATAAGCATTGATGTGCATCCCACAAATGTTCCAAAATGGTTTAATAATAGTTATGGTAAAAAAAAATCATAGAAGTTTGAATATGGCACTTCAAGTCAGACACGTCAATCACTTGGGAAACATAAGGAGACATTCAAAAGCGAAGAGAAGACGCTGACTCCAGTAGTTTCCATTTTTATTGTAGTCAAAAATGGAAATAAAGATATAAATGACTTCCCTTTCCTGTCGTCTGACTCCTGGTCATGTTGTTTCAAACTTTTACAACCGAGTCCCACTTGCCGTTTAAAACCCAATTTGCGACAGGCCTGAAAAGAAAAGTCTGCTGTAAGTTACAACTATCCATCTAACATTAGAATGGAGTTATTTGGGTAAAACAGAAGTCTCACCTAGATTGAGCTTATCTTTCACAGCCCAGCAGATGCAGTAGTGTTGGAGAAGCTGTTGGAGAAGTTCCTTTTCATCTAAAAACTCTAGACGTTCAATTCTGTGATTGCGCAACAAAGAAAATTACGGGAGAGATTTTAATCTGTATTTTTCCTGGCACAGGCTGTACAGTTAAAAATACACACTTGATTACAACTGTACTTGAGTGTTGGCTTGTGTACCTTGCTACATCTTCCTGAGGAAGCATGCTGTAGACCGTCATCATGTCCAGTGCGTTTACACTTTCCCAGCCTGAAGACAAAAAGCGGTCCTTCTGTGAAAACACGTGCCAGAGTTCTCATTGTTAACCACAAGTAATACTTAAAAATACTCATTAATTACAATGAAAGAATTCTATTTTTATTACTTGAAACAATTGTTAAGTAGTATATAAAACACAAACACACTCAGAAAACTTTTAATAGTTTAGTTGAGGTCCTAAAAAACGTATAGCATTTTTTAAATGTATACATACAATTACTTTATATATGTAAGCAATAAAACTAATGCAAAGGACAAAACATCACAATTATTGAACATTAAATAAAGCAAAACTATAACATAATTATTTAGTTATATAATAATTAACTGAAAATATATAAACATTCATATTACTAAAAGTATAACCCATATTAATGACACTAAAATACCACTAGTACTTAAGTCATCATTTTCCATGTTTATTTATAAAGTTTTAATGCAAAAGTTGGCCAACCTTGACAATTTTTATAATTGCAAGCCATAGTCTGCTGGCCTTTTAAATCAGCAACTTAATTTGGATATATTTTATACCCTAGAGAAAAAGCACCATTTCAGTTCTGACATAACACTTATTTAATCGACAGATGTAGTGCAATTTAGGTCATAACAAAAACAGACACATGCAAAAATTCGGGCACCCCAACAGAATAATGACATCAATCTTTTGCACAGCCACCTTTTGCTGAAATAACAGCCTGTTGACGCTTCTTTTGACCAAAGACAAGTCTCTAAATTCTTGCTGAAGGCATTTTAGACCATTCTTCCTTGCAAAACCTCTCCAGTTCAGTCAGATTTGATGGGTGCTTTTCAAATCAATCCATAAATTTTCAATGATGTTCAAGTCTGGGGACTGGGATGGCCATTCTAGTACATTGTATCGTGTCTTGAGTATGAATTCCTTGGTAAATCTGAAACTGTGCTTTGGGTCATTGTCATGTTGAAACATCCAACCCTGCCATAACATCAGCCTATTGACTGATTCTTGAACATTGTTCTTCAGAATCTGTTGATACTGGGTAGAATCCATGCGGCCTTTAACTTTGTCAAGGTTTCTAGAACCCGTGCTTGCCACACATCCCCACAGCATGATGGACCCTCCATCATATTCTTCAGAAGGGAGCAGGTTCTTCTCCTAATACGCATTGTTGTTTTTTCGCCATGCAAAGCATCTACGTATATGGTTGTAGCATCTGTCCACAGTATATTTTTCCAAAATGATTCAGGCTTGTCCAGATGAGACTTTGCACACATCAAATGACTCTTCTTGTAAGCAGAATGCAGAAAAGGTTTCTTCTGCATCACCTTGCATTTTGCTCTTCTTTGTGAAGATGTGCTGGACTGTGGAACGATGTACAATGACATTATCAGCAGCAAGATGTTACTGGACCTGTTTGGAGGTGGTCTGTGGTTTCTCTGTGACCATTCTAACCATTTTCGCCTTTCCCTTTCAGATATTTTTCTTGGTCTAGCACATCTTTCATTCACAACAATGGTTTCTGTGGCTTTCCATTTTCTTACTATATTTCTGAATGTGGAGATGGAGACTTTAAACCTTTGTGACAGCTTTTTTCATCCTTCTAATTCATGTTGGTGAATTATCCTAGTTCATTAGGAAGTTCTTTTAAGGTTCCCATGTTGCTACCGTCTGGTTCACAAAAGAGAGAAACACAACTAGCAATCAGATATCCTAAATATTTTTTTTCGTGATTGGTTGCACGTGTTAGGATTCACTGAGTCACTCAAATCAATGTTGTGCTGTAATCAAACAAAGTCATGATTTGCACTCAAATAATTACTTTGTATAGTTTTTTTTTTTTACATTCTTCAGGTATTACAAAATCCTCAGTGTTTGATTAAATTTCCTTTTTCATGAATGGTTGCATCTATGTTAGGATCAATTTTGTGTTGAAATCAATCAACATTAAGTGACTACAGATTTTGAAATCCACACAACAGAGAGGGTGCTCAGACTTTGCATAGCCTATTTTTCAGTTTCAAATTAATTTCACACATCTCAATACTGCTACACTATGTACTTCTGCCTAAAAACATGACATTATTTAGCTTTCTCTAGAAGCAGAATGGCATTTCACTGCGATCTTCTCCTATAAAGAAAGCACATCACTACGCAGCCACAGAGGGGTGCCTAGACTTTTGCATAAAACTGTATGTACGATCAACACATTTCACTTGGTATTTAAAAAAGAGAAAACCACATGTCCTGTAGTTGTTTTTGAACAAGGGAATACTTTTTCTTTGAACAATAATCATTATTTTATCATTTTATTTGAGGAGAACCTCTGATATATACTTGTGTATTAATCATCTACATTTTTTAATTGAAAATAAAATCTATAAATAAAACTAAATTATAATAACTAATGGAAGCCTTTTAGGTTGTGCAACAAATAAATGAACCTTCCCTTATTATTTATCATATAATTTACAGGATTCCAGCAAAATCTGTAAGATGACTAAAAATCAAAGTTGAAGCAAGAAAAAAAGCACAAACATAACAAACATAAATAGGTTTTGAACAGTGGTGAATCTTAACAAACACTGCTAAAATGTGTTGTTTATAGTTACATCATTACACCTAATCCATAAATTAAAATCAACCAAATGAACAAAGCATTGAAAGAAATAATTTCCTCTTCTCTTTTTACACCAGATTCAAGTTTCAGCCTGAATTTCACGCAATGTAAAATCATGCTGAGAAGATATCCTGAGGTGTCTACGGAGGTCACAATGGAGTAACCTTGAGAGACTTGCGCTGATAATGCTTTTGTGAGACTGAAGTGTTGGCGTTAACCACAGTAAACAATGACTTGAGCTTAACTGCGCTGTTTTCCTGAGTCTTGATCACCCATTGTATGCTGAGCAGGAAAACAATTTTGAATTCCAAGTACAACCCTGTGTAATGTTTTGATTGTACATAGCAAGACACCATTTTACTGTACAGAGCAGAACCATCACCTTTCGAAGAGCCTGACGGTTCCTCGTCATTAAAGGACATTACGAATACTGAGCAATAAAAGTTCATGCTCATTCAAAATGGACATATTTCCTACTTGAGAATCGAGAGGTCCACTCCAGCCAGATTTCACTGCCATCTCTGCAGATTCTTAATCATGATGTGCCCAAAGCAATCATTCATGTTCACGACGGTTTACTGAGTCACCTAAATCAATTTTGAGTTGTAATCAATCAGCATTAAGTTACTACAGATTTTAAAATCCACACAAAAGAGAGGGTGCCCAAACTTTTGCATAACCTATTATTTATATTCAATTTAATTTCACACATCTCAATACTGCTACACTGTGGATTTTTGACTGAAAAACATGACATTATCTAGCTTTCTCTACAAAACAAATGGCATTTCCTCTTATAAAGAAAGCACATTACTATGCAGCCACAGAGGTGTGTCCAAATTTTTGCATAAAACTGTATGTACCGTCAAAACATTTCACTAGGCATTTAAAAAAAGAGTGAACCACATGTCCTGTAGATATTTTTGAATAAGGGAATTCTTTTCTTTAAAACATTAATCATTATTTTAGCATTTTATGTGAGGAGAACCACTACTCTATTGTTCCTCGTCATTAAAGTACATTACGGATACAAAGCAATAAAAGTTCATGCAAATTTCTTACTTGAGAGTCGAGGGACTGACAGAGGTCCACTCCAGCCAGATTGCACTGCCGTCTCTGCAGATTCTCAATCATGATGTGCCCAAAGCGATCGTTCATGTTCACCTGAAAAAACATGAACAGTTAGCTGAGCAGACAAAAATAATGCTAGACTATGCTAAACTGGAGAATTTGAGAAGTTCGTGTGATGAAAATTTTGTCATCAGCACAGTTCACTCTCAGTATGTGTGCAGTGTGTACAATAATTTTTCATTTTTTGTCCACAAGAAAAAAAAAATTTGCTAAGCGATTTTTGGAGATTTGCATTTTTTTTATTTATATATATTTTTTGTTTGCAAAACTTTCTTATATTTTGCAAGTATGCTGTATATGGCTCTAGATTGACTCCATAAAAGTGTGCTTTTCTCAGACCCAAAAAGCTAAAAAGCATACAAGGCAAACTGTAACTAAGCAGAACAATATAAAACTGTAAAAATACCACAATAAGACAATAAAATATGTACAATAAAATTGACGAAAACAATCAACCTAATTTAAAAGCAATGGTAAAAAGGCGAGAATTGAGAAGTTTCGTAAAACAGTCCAAAGAAGCAGCATTCCTGATGCTGATGGGTAGACCATTCCATAGCTTAGGTGCACTATACAAAAAAACTTTACCACCCATAGTCTTAAGTTTACAGTGTGGATGATACAGGGTAAGTCCAGATGCAGAACGAATACTGCGGATTGGAGAGTTACCAGGTCACAAATGTAGTCAGGTGCTTAAAATCAATACGTGACTTAACAGGAAGCCATTGAAGTTGCTGAAGTACAGTGCATACAAAATCAGTAGTAAGTGCACTTTAGCACATATGGACATCACTAGTTTCTTAGGCTCTGTTCATACAGAATGCATTTTTCCTCTCCAATGTGCTACTTTTCTATTGTTTTTGAATGCAAATAGACGCTTGATGACAGTTACGCTTTCAAGCGCCCCTGACAACCGCATTTTTAGATGCTGTGTGACATTAAAAAGCCTTCAACTTTAACATGCAGTGCAGCCCATCACTGTCAGTTCCACAGCAATGGACCAATCAGAAAAAAAATCGGAGGCAGGTTTAGTTGCCAGTTTCTGTTTACAGGCGCTCAGTGACTGTCCGGATACCCTCATGCTTTATGCTGTGCTTTTTTTCAAACAAGTCTGAAGCGCATTCGGTGGGAATGAGACCTTACACTGTTCTGCTGTGATCTTAATCTGCTTTTCTTCAGTTTCTTTAACAGTTCACTGACTGTGATGTTTCTAAGCCATGATATTAGTTAGATTTTCAATCAGGTTTAGATCAGGACTCAATTTTGCCATTTAATTCATTCGCTCATCCATTTTCCTTCGGTTTAGTCTCAGTGGTCAGAGGTCGCCAAAGCAGAATGAACCACCAACTTATTCAGGCATATGTTTTACTCAGCGCATGGCCTTCCAGGCGCAACCCATCACTGGAAAAACACCCATACACACTCAACTCATCTATTTACACACACACTCATAAACTACAGCCAATTTAGTTCATTCAATTCACCTATAGTGCATGTCTTTTGACTATGGGGGAAACCCACACAAAGATTGGGAAAACATGCAAACTCCACAAAGTCATGACCAAACCGAAACCGGGACTCGAACCAGCGACCTTCTTGCTGCCAGGTGACAGCAGACACTGAGCCATTTAATTACTTAGATGAAAGTTTTCAGCTTCAAGGAGTTGCTGAAAAATTGCTGGCTGACAAAATGATGAATACAGGAAAGGAACCGGATGTCTCCGAAAGAAATTCTGATAACCATTTGCTTTCACTCTGTCATGTATCTGTACGTGACAAAACTCCTGCTGCAGACTCACAAACACCACTAAACCATGACACTTTATCTAAACTTTTGCTGGCTTATTTACACTTTGGGTTTAGTCTTTCCCCAATGTAAAAGACTGATTAACATGTTTCTCACTGGAATAGAAACCCTTAACACACTAAAAGCAGAACTTCACTCTGTTCAGTGCTAAAGTGACAGTCAATTTCAGCTGCAGTGTTAAAGCGATTACCCAGTGACAATCTCCACATTATCTCGTCTTTTTCAACATTTATCTTTCTTGGGCACCCAGCCTTTTTGGGGTAATTGAATGAGTGGAAGACATTGTAAATATGCTATATTCTAGAAATTACAGATTTGCAATGACCAACTTTTTTTTCTATGGCTAAAAGGCTCTTCTCTTTGGTATTAATCTGGATGACCTTCTGTCGGAGGGTTTCAGTCTAAGGCTCACCATCTTGCAAATTCTGTGAAAACTGTAAAGTTAAGCAGCTGGTTAAAGAGTTGCTATAAGAAAAAAATGCTGTATGTAAGTTTTTTGACATTTCTAAAACATGAAAATACAATAATATGCTTGTTTATCTGAAAAACAATGCTAAAGTCAGATATTCTGCACTGACAATGAGTGTTACGTGCCAGAACGCCTGTCTTTGCTTTGGCTCTTTTAACCCACCCACTGTCACTTTAGCAAATTATTCATTCATTCATTCAGAAAGGCTCTCAAAGCATGAGACCGAAATGCGACCTCTGGTGGACATAAAACAGAATCTGAAATGAGACACAGATTCAGAATTCCACATGAGGTGGTTATTAATTAGCAAATAATATAAATATTAGGAACGTAAACCTTAGTTGAGCAGGTTACATTGTAACAACATGCTACATGACCAGATTTGCAGTGGTAAGCAATTTGATTGTTTGCACCAGACGAAACACAACAGAAATGTAAATACAGCCATTCAAGAAGCACAGAATATGCACTCACTCACAAAATGGTAAGTTTCATAATCTGATTAATACATGTTAAACCTCTATACCATTATTAAATGTACATGCTGAATCACTGATATGCGTTAGCTTTAAGTCACAGTTCTGAAGTTCAATTTCAAACTGTTTATTTTATTTCAAGATCTGAGAAGAACTATCTGCTGCTGCTTTCAGTAGTATGGCAATAAATGTCACGTAAAATGGCATCTAAACTCACATTGTTAGCATTTACCAATGAATAAAGCACATGAGCTGTACCTGAGCTGATAATTGTCAGTTTATCCTGTAGTTCAGCTCCAAGAAATAGAAGCCATTTCTAATATCAATTCGAGGAGTTGGTCAAAATAAAAACTCCTTTTAAGATGGAAATATTCCTTCTATCGCGTGTTGTTGCTTTTACATAGAACACAATTTAAATCAGTCTTTAGGCTGGATCGTCAGGCTCGCTCCTGTTGGTCCTCAATTTGGCAACCTGCGCTTGCATTTATTTTGATCCAGGAATGCAATATCTAGTTCAACCACAGGGTGTCAAACTTAAATACTGCACCTTTAAATAGAGTTGTATGTGCCAGATTAAAGCCAATAAATGTGAGGAAAGTGCTCAGCAATTTTGATCAAAGTTATTTTTTAGTCTCCCAAAGTCTTTAGACTTTAAATTGCCCCAATATTAGTTGGCAATTTTATAAAAGTTTCTTGTCAGTAGCTGTGACATCCCTCATCTCATTTTGGGCGTGCCTTGCGCACAAAAAATGCTATGAGTTTGTCATGGTATTGGGAATGAGTCTTCTCCAAATGTCTTATTAATTTGGCATGCATTCATTAGCAAGAACTTTGGCGCATATATTTGCACTGTGGCTGGGTCAGGGACTCTTTGCTTTAAGAAATAGAATAAAACCATAGTTCAGCTAACTATCTTGGTATTTCCAGCATTTCATGTTTCCAGTATTGCTAGCGCTGCGACCCGAAATTTTTGGAGCTTCCTTTCCTGGGTCTAGTATGCTTGGGTCATTACTATTAGCTGCTGATGGCAAATCAGTGAAACTGTCTTTTTTGTGGAGGATGAATTACAAATGTGTCAATGTTTTTAGTTAGCCAGGGAATAAAAAGAACTAAGGTAACATTATCATTCTCCTAATTGCCCACTGCTAAAAAAGGTTAAAAATATGACGCGACCCACCACAGAGCTTGCTGAGGGCCCCATGTGGGCCAGGACCCCCTTTTTGGGAACCGCTGCTTTGGAATAAATGCAACTCATAAAATAAAGTATGCCTTAAAAATGTCTGTTTCACTTCTGTTAGAAAAACTTTGAATAATACTAAGCTGTGACCTCAAAAGGTAATAAAAGTATCCCTAACTTTGATCTCCACTGTACAGTAGTAGGCCAAAAACAGTATGTAAGGAGAGCAATAAGTCACCAAACTCATATACAAAAAGCGTTCATGTGATACTGAATCAAAGGGATACCCAATAATAATAATATGAATAATAAATTGTTGTCAGTTACACACAGTATAGCACACTAATTATCATTAGTGTGCCATATGAAGTGTTGAAGTCCTTTGAGTTGGGTTATTGTCAGTCTCTGTTTGTGGAAACCATAAAAATGAATGAAAAGGGGAGTGTGTCTAACATCTGTGGTTGAGCATGCAATTCAAACCAGTACTCTTTGATAGCCTTAGTGTTAAACTGCCTTAAAGTGTTAAAAGCCACTTAACATAATTAACTTACCTGTTCATAGTTAATGAACATGGCCGTGGGAAAGGTTTCTGCAATCCAGTGCACTAGTCTGGACGACTGTTCGGGGCTCATGTACACCAGCACACATTCAGACAGAAAGAGCGTGGGCAATCTGGGTGGAAAGAAGCAGGAATGCTGGGATAAAAAGAATGTTAATGGCATAATCCTTCAGCTCATATCAATGGTGGGGAAGTGTTCCTTTACAACACCCATCCTATGATTAAGCTTCCTCTAGATACAGGCTAAAATAACCCATGAACTACGGCTAGCAGTTTGAAGTTCGGTGACATTAAAGGATTTGGAACAATAAACTAACCAAGAACAACTTGTACTTGTACATTATTTATTAGTCTAGTTTAGTGTAGAAAATTTGCATTAATTGTATAGCAATTATGTACCAAAAATAAAATAAATTAATAATGAATAATAATAATATACAGTATTTACAAATTTACATAACATACAAACATTTTGGGTAAAAATAAGACACTAAAAAGACAATAAAGACAATAAAAACTTTTATAATGTTACAATAGATTTCAATAGTAAATAACTACAGTTTTTTTTTTTACTATGATAGGGTTCATACACATTTTTGCTACAAAATTTCAAGGACTTTCAAATTTTCATGACCTAATGTTTCAGGTAATGTCTATATACACGTGGTAAATCATAAGAAACGTTAAAAAAATGTATTAAAACATATCATAAAACGCGCAATAGTTTCAATTTATTGTTATATCTATGTAAAACAGATGATACTTACACTGCACTAATAATATGACTACATGTTTTTGGCCAAGAAATAAAAAGAAGTAAAAACAACTAACCTCCATTCCAATATACAGATATTTGTCAAATTAATTTTAGATAATCTTAATAGTTCGTTAAACTAGTAATAGTAGGTAAAACTACTTGCATTATAAAGTCGCAATCACACTGCACTTTTCGTTCCATAGACCTCCATTCATAGGCATGTCAATGCTGGAGCTCAGAAATGCAAGCACATGTGACATGTTAGTATCGCATTTCACGGCATTCTAAAGTTCAAGCTTTTAAGGTGAATTCTACCTGCAAAATCACATAAGGTGATTGCGTGAGACCAATAGAAGATAATTTAAAATAAGAAATTTAAAATATATCGGCTACGCAGTGGCGCAGTAGGTAGTGCTTTCGCCTCACAGCAAGTAGGTTGCTGGTTTGAGCCTCGACTGGGTCAGTTGGCGTTTCTGTGTGGAGTTTGCATTTTCTCCCCACGATCACGTGGGTTTCCTCCGGGTGCTCCAGTTTCCCCCACAGTACAAAGGCTTGCCATACAGGTGAATTGGGTAGGTTAAATTTTCCGTAATGTATGTGTGTGAATGAGTGTGTATGGATGTTTCCCAGAGATGGGTTGCAGATGGAAGGGCATCCACTAAATAAAATTTAGTTGCTGGATAAGTTGGCGGTTCATTCTGCTGTGGCGACCCGAGATTAATAAAGTGACTTAGCTAAAAAGAAAATGAAAGAATGAATTTAAAATATGGAGCAATCGCTCACTTTTATTAATGTCTAAATATATTGTTTAACCCCGGCCCTTTTCGCAGCGCCGCACGACAGAATTTTGCAAGCACAAACTCTAGTGTGACCGCAGCTTAAGTTGATTTGGACAAAAATGTCTGCTAAATGACTTAATGTGAATGTAATTTCCATGACTTTTCCAAAACCTTGTGGGTTTTTCTGTTTTTCCAAAACTTATACAGGCCTGGAAAATGCCAGGTCAAAATTCCATGACTTTTTCAGGTTTTCTACAACCGTATAAACCCTGATATTAAACAATTGTTTTTAAGTATTATTGTTTTTACAAAAATTAAATCAAACATCCCAACTATATGGAACATAAAAAAAATAAATGTCATCAACATTTTTGAATTATTTCTTCAGAATCATGACAAGATTAATGGTGAATTCATGGAAATTTCAATCATGCCATCACATAAATTTATTTTATTTTTTAATATTTTAATTTGTAATAATTTTTAGCAAAATTACTATTACAGCCTAAATGAATTTGTGCATATTTTTGTTTTATGAAAAAAACTTGCCTACCACTATATATATATATATATATATATATATATATATATATATATATATATATATATATATATATATATATATATATATATATATATATATAAACAAAAATTATTTGTATTATTTTTTATCCTTTTTAATATCATTTTATATCAATCATTTAATTAATGCATTGCCTATTAAAAGAAATCTGATTGTGAATTGTTCCTAAATTATATTTTAAGTATCTGATTAAAATTACATCTTTTTAAGGAAAACCGACTCAGGAAGAGCATTTTCTTTGGCTGAGAATGTTACAATTTGTTCTCCCCATGAATTGAAACAAAACAAGAAGTTTGTTCCTGGAGACTGAACATTACGGTAATATCTGGACGTACACAGCAGGAAATCATGTTTTTGGAAGAGCACTTTGCGTGCAGCGACAATAGATTTTCCTGACTTTTTTGTATTTAGCATCTGAGCGACTGATGGGATTTGCAGACAAGCTGGTAAGCGTCAAGACGCCACGTTAGGGTGGACTGAACAGGAAGTCGCAAAAGAAAGCAAAACAAAACAAAAAAAATAGACTCAAGGTGAGAGGCCTTGAGAAAGATGCTATTGATGTCATACACCTTCTAGAACGGTAGCTTCCTTCGGGTCTCATCAGTCCACATCAAAGAAAACGTGCACTTATTGACGCATCTGAGGAACCACTAAATGCTCCCATGTGTACTATTGTTATCAGGGGCATCAACAGAGATGCACGAAAACAAAACAACAGATGCTTACAACTCCTACTGGGATAACTAACAGGATGGATCAACCCTATCTGGGATGCACAAAATTATAAAGTTAACTTTCTAGTACATCAAAAATTAAGCATCAAATCCAATTGTTTTGTTACACAAAGTTCTACCAATGGTTAAATATAGATAATGTACAATATACAGCTCACATGTGACTGGGGCGACAACATGTGCCAATTTTTACAGGACACTTTTCCAGAATCTCTATATTGTGCAGACTGATCATTGTATGACGCTGGTAAGAGTAGTGCTTGTGTTTTGAGCTTATTGCGATATCAGCTTCACTGGCTATTTAATATTTATATTCATAAAACAAATTTAATAAATAAGATTTTGTCTATAATTAACCCTTGTGTGCTGTTGGGGAGGATTTCATCCACTCTAGGATGATTTTGATTCTTAATTTTACCACTACTTTCCACTTATTTTTGCTGACATCATATTTTGAAATATTTTGGAAAAATGCTTTGGATTTTTTTTTTTTTTTGCTCTCAGAATATAATAAACATGGTAAGTGTATTTAAAATTCATAGTAAGTTTATTTATAAGAAGCACAAACTTGTTTGAACAGGGCTATCTAAATGGGTAATGCTTCCAACTGATGATCAACAGTAAAAATTTAAAATGTTACCTCTTCCAAACAAGCAAAACCACCAACAATCAAAAATGCATGATTATATGGTGTCATGGCTTTAAATAAAAAATGTTATAATGAAAGTCAATGGGGCAAAAAAAGCCATAAACATAAATAAAGGGTAGTCGATTTGATGGGTGAAAAGGTATATAGGAATATAAAAAAGATATTTAACAACAATTAATAAAACATAAAATAAGAAATCAAATTTAAAACTTTTGAAAAAGTTCTACCATTTCTGAAAAATTTACATCTAGAAATTATTCCTTTAAAGCTTGTGTGTGTTGAGCATCAGTTACGACAATTTTTGCACCTGTGAGCTTTAATTGTGGGGAAAACTGGATAATTTGGAGCTTTTGTCAGCTAATTTAAGCTTCCGGGTTTAAATTGTTTTTAGGGCGGGATCAAAATCGGCTACGTAGCGCAAAACTGCAAGTGGAAAGATGACGTGTTGATTTTTCATTATTATTTATAGCTGAGGTATCTTATGAGAAGAGCCTGCTTCTTAATTATTCAAGACTGCACGTGCTATCCGAAGGCAAGGCAGACCTGCCAGTGGCAAAATGTGTTTGTTTCCATGACCCTGATCCACGGTTTGTTGCATGTTTTTCCCTGCAATGCTGTCAGGGATGATACAGCAAAGCTGTTTGTGTGCAGTGAGCATTTTTGTCGGGAGAGCAGTACGAGAATTGGAGAATGGCAGACGTTGTCTTTCTTCACAAGTTTGTTCATATTTAGACACATCGCCGTGCTGCTGTGTTCGCCTAAATCCTCTAGATTACCAACAGAGCTAATGGTTAAAATAGACAGTGCAAGAGACATGCTGCACTGAGTCTGCATTCAGGCCTATGATTCAGACCCGGGGATTGAGGGAAAAGTCCTCGTTTATAGTTTTTATATGAACATGACTATCTTTATAATGATATAAATTGTGGTTATCTGTAAATTAAATTATGATTAAGACATGTAGCAGGACAATAAATTACTGTTTATTTCTTTGCATTTCAACTTTGTAAACTATAAAATCACGAGTCTCCTGTAGGTTTGTGTCTCATTTTGTGAGCTAACTGACAACAGTTGTTCGCTCCCCTCCTTCTCCCCTGCTGGCCACGCTCAAACCTGCCCTTTGCTCGCGGAGCTCCACGCCCATTATGATGCATCTTTTTAAAAAATTCTGAGGTAGACTTGAACCGCAAGTCGGGGGTGTCATGACCCTTTAAAGTCTCTCCAGACAAAATAGTTTTCTGATAACATTAAAAATCTTTATGTTTAAGTTTATGTATTGCAATGTTGGTTGATAATGCAATATTGACATTTGTAAGAGAAATATAGAGCACATGGCTTCTTATACTTTGATTTCATTAAAATATTGGTTTACGCAGTGCCAAAAAAGAAAAGTAAGCATATTTGCATTGATTTGAACATTTTCTGTTGATCCCTGTGAAATCATGACTGGTCGGTTTTGTACAGTGCCTGCACGTTATTGGTCAAACTACTTTTTAATCATTCAGGATTCCCACTATATACAAATTCCCTGACATTTCCCTGATTTTCACAGCTTTTTAAACTGAATTTCCATTTAAGAGTGGTGAGGCCATTGTAGATTAAAATGCGTCAAGACTTCTGGTCTTATTAACTTCCATTCATTTTTAGCAAAACAAAACTACTTATGCTTTTTGATGTTCAAAATCATTATGTTTTAAATGGGACCTATTATGTCTATTTTTACAAGATGTAAAATAAGTCTGTGATGTCCCTAGAATGTTTATTTAAAGTTTTAGCTTAAAACAGCACACAATTTGTTTTTACAACTCTTTGAAACTGCCTCTTTTAGGCTTTAATCCAAAGTTTGCCATTTTGGTCACAATCGCTTTAAATTCAAATGAGATCCTAGTGCTATTTTTTAAAAGAGGGCGGAGCTACAAAAGCCATAGTGGCTGATTCAAAACGGGTGTCTGAAGAAGGCAGTCTCTGGTGTTCATTTGTGCATTTTAAAACTCCACATTTAAAATCCTGTTAGTCCCTAATCTTCAGCAGGTATGGTGAAACCTCTTATGTCGCTCAGGGCTGTTTATGCTAATAAACCCTCTTCTGATGACATGTAGAACAAGAGAATGCCAATCAAAGTGGTTCTGTACACTGTTGTTATCTGTTTAAGTGTAATGGTAAAAAAAATCACATTTTTACTAATAAATTTATCATCTGACTATTTCCAGTTTAAATCTGTATAAAACAAAGTGACTGAAGGTGCAGTTAGAGCTGATTGTATTCTTTTGGAAATCTTCTTTTGGAATTTGATACCACAATCTGTTAAAGAATGTGTATCTTTTAAGTCATTTAAGTATAATTGTAAGAAATGGCTTTTTAATAATCAACACCGTGAACACTAGGCTTTTTGATATTGTTGTTGTTTTCTGTTGTTTATTTGCCTATTTTTCTTTAAGTTTTAATTTGTATTTTTATTGGCATGGCCTTTAACATCTGGTTAAGAGACCACCAATGAAAACTAGTCTTTGGGCTTATTTGGGAACATTTACAGTCTCGGGGAATGTTGACTGATGTACACTGTCCCTTGTGAAAAACAAATAAACTCAAACTCAGTGGGTGACTATATTCACACACTGTTACCACACAACTGTTTTTAAACCCTTTATAAAAGTATTTTTTTCCACTTAATAAGTCCCCTTTAATATATTTGATTGTCAATTGAGAAGCAGAAAATAAAACAAATGGCATAGAAAAAATTTACTAACCATAAGAATAGGTGAACATGTGAACAAATATAGAATTTGATGAACGAATGTGAAATTAAAAATGACAAACAAAAGTCCATGATATCTCATGACCTGAAAAAGAAATATAGATTTCTCTGATCATTACATTTTGCAGCTGTGCAATCTACAAAAACAAATATAAAAATCCTGGCCAGGATATGTCCTGTGAAAATGGCACACATGATCACCCTACATGTGACAGAAGCAACAATTAAACGTGTGAACTTTTCTGAAAGACAAATCTGCCAATCACAATAAAGATAAGAGAGGCTCATCCTGATGTTGAAACTGTATCTCCCTTGATAACCTTGTTGATAAAGCATCACAAAACAATTTTAAGGTGCAATAGAAAGACCAAAACAGTGCTCCATTTACACTTAACATAGCCAAGGTTGTAGTTTTACAGTACGTACTCTGGATTTATCTGGAACTTTTTTAGCTTGTCCTCTAAAGTAGGGATGTCTCTTAAATCAGCACCGATAATACAGTATCTGTCAGAGTCCAAACTATGACCATCTGTGAAAAAGACAAAGTCGAACAGAAGAGAGGTTACATTGAAAATAATCAGCAAACAACAATAAAGTAACGTATAAGTAATAATGTTTGATTTTCAATACCTAGAAGAAGCGAATCAGTGGAGTGAGTCTCAATCAGAGGTTTCGATAGTGGAGGTTTTGTCCTGTAGATAGATAGATGGATGGATGGATAGATGGATGGATGGATGGATGGATGGATAGATGGATAGATGGATAGATAGATAGATAGATAGATGGATAGATAGATAGATAGATAGATAGATAGATAGATAGATAGATAGATAGATAGATAGATAGATAGATAGATAGATAGATAGATAGATAGATAGATAGATAGATAGATAGATAGATAGATAGATAGATAGATAGACACACACAGACAGACAAATACTTGTTAATCATTCATTCAAAAGTGTGATTGTAAACATTTTTATCTCTGTGATCGCTATCAGATTTTTATCATCAAACCATTCATGTTTATCATCAAACAAACAGCTTAAAGTCAACCTTAAAAAAACTGTTCTACACTTGCATGCTGTATGTAAGATATACTACTCAAAATTTGGCATCTTTTGTGTAAACCTGAGTGAGTTTGAGTTTAAACAACACCAGCTGGTTACAGGCAACTGTCGAAAAAGGTTGTGAGAAAAGGTCTAGTATTTGACACTTTGGTATTCTGTTATCTAACGGAATGAGGGTCTGGATTGTATTGTACAGGTATTACGTAACTCCCTGTGTACACAGCTTGTGTATCTGTAGTCTGTATATCACTAACACACACACATACACACCCATGCACATGCATGCACACACCCACTCACTCACTTTCACTAGTACAGTTCTCGTTGTGGGGACTTCTATCAGCAGAGTTTCTGCAGGTTTCATCAAGTCAAATTTAAGACCATTTTGAATGAAATTTTAGACTTATACAGGAGTAACACTAATGACTGTTTTAATGTTTTGTTTTTTTCTGCTTGCCACAAATATAATTATTTGTAAACCACATATTTTAATGCGTCAAAACAAGAAAATTATATATATATATATATATATATATATATATATATATATATATATATATATATATATATATATATATATATAGCTAAATACACTGTTTTCAACATAATATTTATTTTTCTTTAAAATGACATGCATATGCATGCATACATGCATATTTATTGTGGAGACAATCACATGTACAATCAAAAATATATATTTGTTTGCTTTTTTCTAAATGGATTAAGTTTAACTCCCATTCATTCAACATAATGCATTTCTGCCATAAAACCTTCAGTTTCATCTCAATTTATGAATATAATGTCAACTTACTTCTGTAAATAGTTTTTACATAAAGATCATGTAAACTGAGATGTTTGCTCCGTGAGGAAATGTGTAATTATTTGTAATTTTCTTTCCCTGACTAGGGAATTTATTATGGAGCAAATGCTGTGAAAATGATTGGGTAGCTTTATTTGGAAAGAGGAAAAATTAAGACCTGTTTAAAATGATTAAAGACATACAACACAATATTTTAGTGAATTTAAGACTTTTTAAGGCCTAAAACTTAGTTTTTCAATTTTAAGACATTTTTTCAAATTTTAAGGCTTTTTACGTTTTACACTGTACAAATTGTGTATACTATGGAACAAAATCAATGCCAAATGTAACAGCCTGCCTGTTGGATATTTCACACTGGATGAAAGATCATCATCTTCAGCTTAACCTCGCAAAAACGGAAACGCTTGTAGTTTTTGCCCACCCAACTCTACACCATAACTTTTCAATCCAGATGGATGGGGCAACCATTACTGCATCCAAAATGGTGAAAAGCCTTGGAGTAACGATTGATGACCAACTAAACTTCTCTGACCACATTTCAAGAACTGCTCGATCATGCAGATTCACACTCTACAACATCAGAAAAATCCGACCCTTCTTATCTGAACATGCAGCTCAACTCCTTGTTCAAGCTCTTGTTCTCTCCAAACTGGATTACTGCAACTCTCTACTAGCTGGGCTTCCAGCTAACTCAATCAAGCCTCTTCAGCTGCTCCAGAACGCAGCAGCACGAGTGGTCTTCAATGAACCTAAACGAGCACATGTCACTCCGCTGCTAGTCCGTTTGCACTGGCTGCCAGTTGCTGCTTGCATCAAATTCAAAGCTCTGATGTTTGCCTACAAAGCGACTTCTGGCCTTGCTCCTTCTTATCTGCTCTCACTTCTGCAGATCTATGTGCCCTCCAGAAACTTGCGTTCTGTGAATGAACGTCGCCTCGTGGTTCCATCCCAAAGAGGGAAAAAATCACTTTCGCTCACGCTCAATCTGCCCAGTTGGTGGAATGAACTCCCTAACTGCATCAGAACGGCAGTCACTCGCTATTTTCAAGAAACGACTAAAAACTCAACTATTTAGTCTCCACTTTAGTACTTTCTAATCTGCAATTGCCTTTCTGGATATCACACTAACTGTACCCCAAAAAAAAAAAAACCATTACTAATACTTTCCATCTTAGACTTTACAGACCTGAAACTTGCCTATAGCACTTATTCATTGTTGCTCTTATAGTTGTGTAAGTTGCTTCCTTGTGCTCATTTGTAAGTCGCTTTGGATAAAAGCGTCTGCTAAATGACTAAATGTAAATGTAAATAAAAAGCTTGTTGAATAGCAAAAACTGAAAATAATAATACATTAAATTAAGAAGTGCTTGCATTTTAATGACAGGGTTTGTATTTTTAGGTCCTGAAATTTAACATACCCATTTATTTAAGCTGTTATAAATATTTCAACTTAAAATTTTTAAACATGTTTTCATACTTATAAATCTATTAGTTGATTTTTAATTTTAGGATTTCACTTACAAAAACTGTTAAAAGACACAATGTGTATTCAAAAGGCAATTTTCAGTTTAAAACTTCCAAGAATTGAGTGGTTCAAATTTGGCTATTAAAAGTCAACATTATAAATAATAATATTAATAACGATAATAGTAGTAATAACAATAATAATAATAATACAATTCACAATACTAGTTTCATATTTTTTGAATAATATTATTATTGTCATCAAAATGTGACAAATTTAAGGGTTTGCCTGTTGAATGAATGGCCTCACGTTCATGGTCAATGGGTCTCAGTGACTATGTTTACATGGACATCAGTAATTGAATTATTTGCTTTAATCTGAATAAAACAATACTATGGTTAAGGTGATTACATAAGTTACTTTTAGAATGTTGCTTTCGTGATTATGTTTTACATGTTATAGCACATAATTCGATTATCGTCATTGCATTACGGCACTATCCACATTTCCTCTGGAGTTATTTTGTAAGTTCAGGTAAACATTCTTAATTTGTAGACTTTAATTGCAGTTTGGCACTTTCACTTTAATTCAGAAACATTTCCTGCGTGTCCCTGTGAAAAACGAGTTATTGGATACGAGTATAAAATGCTGAAAGAGTGTTGTTTTAATGGAATTTGATACCCCACGCCGAATTGGAGAAAATCCCCTCTGCATTTTGCAGTATATGTGTCTGTGGTTCTTCACTGACTCTGATTGGTTCAGGAAACAGTGTCAAACAGCCGAGTATGTATAGATGATCCTGTCACAAAATGTAGCGAAAGTCATACACAATGATTATAGTTTAAGGTGTTTACATGTCTATACTGCACTTCAATAATGTGACTTAAATTGGCATACTCCACATGGCTTAATTCAATTTCTGTTATGATTATGACCTTAATCAGATTTAAGTATTTAAAAATCGCTGTTTACATGGTCAGCTCTTAATCAATGTATTGACTCAATTGTATTAAAATCAAATAATTGGTGTCCATGTAAACATACTCATAGGCTGTAAAAATTGCAGGTCTGCAGCAAAATCTAGCATAATCATCAGCAAGCTGGATGCTTGGTATGAGGTGTTTGTGCTGATAAGCTCTTTGGGTTTTCATCAAAAGAGTCAATTCTAGGAGTTTTTATTGTTTTAAAAAATAATTTAGCAAACCAGAAAAATGTCTTTTATTAACATACCATGTCTAAATGCATGGATCTGATCTTTTCACAATTTTTTTACCTGACCATTTACATTCACCTCAGACATGCCTTGCGTCTGATAACAGTGCTTACACTAATCTGCCGCCTAAAAAATCATTCCATTGGCTTTCACAGCCCTAAACACACCTAATGACCCTCAAATTTAGAATGGACTTTAGCTTATTTGTCTATTCATCAGCTTTTTGATAATAAAAATTTACATTTGTACATTTGAGCCATGACTCTTGTGGGAAAGACCAAGCAGGAGTGGTGTACATCTCCTGGCTCAACTGACTTCCATCCATTGCATCACATAAATATTTTGACAGTGCGTACAACTCGTGCTTGAGACGGGTGTGAAATGATGATGTTCAATGCAATCCTTCTTGGAACATTGACGCAACTGACATGGAGAATCGGAAATGAATGTTTAGATGTAGGTTGAATGTCCAGATATTGTATATCTGATTTAAAACCATTGTAAATTACTCAGATTAGTCCAATCTGTGTTAGATGCGAGTAAAAAAAAAACTATTCTGGCAGTGTAAATGCAGCCAATTTTGTGTTTAGAAAGAAGAGGCTTTCTTCTGTCAACCCTTTCAAACATGCCATTTTTGTTTTGTATTTTGTAATTTTCCAGTTAAGAGAGTCTGTGGTGAAGTTCTTAGCTTGTTTTCCATTGCTCATTGTCGGATCCTAGGGGTGAGTTTTGCTGGGATGCCCAATCCTAGAAATATTACTGTATTGTCAAATTTAGAATGCTGTAGAATGCTGAAGAAATCGTATAATGACAGGTCTATGACCTAGAGGTACTCTATTAAGGTGGTTTACGAGGACATGCTTTGTGTCCATGTTATTCAAAATGCTTAAAAACTTACTTAATGGGGTTTTTGACATTAATAGTGCCACAGACTTCCTGTGAAGGTTGGATTTAGGATTAGGGTAAGCATGTTTTAGTCCTCGTAGTAAGACCATACATCAATGTATGTGTGTGTCAATATTACACACTTTTAAAATAAAGTATCACCATCTTTAAAAAATATAATTTTTACATAAATAATTTTGCGGTTTGTGTGGGTAATATTGTGATTAAATTAAAATATA